GGAACTGATTATGCGATTGAATGATACAATGATTATATTATTATAATTATTATCTAATTAAATGCATGAAATTTTCATCTTAAATTGCAGTTGTATAATTTTAACTACATTTTTATTAATTTAATTATTTGTTGTTTTTACAATTGCTGTTTTTAAAGTTATTAATTAAAGATATATAAAAAATAGTATTTATTTTTCTACATTACCCTTCCAATTTTATAATAAAAACATATAACATTAATGACAGTTTATTAACTGCATTTAAAGTAAAAGAAAAGTGTGAAGAGATTTTGAACAAAAAAAAGCAGTGCGGAAAATAAATTATTATTTGGCAAAAATTAAACGAATGAAAGCGTATTTAGATAATTTATTGAATAATCTTCGATGTTAGATGATTTATTGATGAATTAAGCAAAAATTTTCAACAAAAGTTCGATTTTAGTTCATATAGGTGGGCCGATTTAAATCGAAAAAACGTAAAAAAACACCATAAATAATCATTTTTTGGAAAAAATAAAGCACGCAGGAGTTTTTTATATCATTTACTGATTAATCTATATGATCAGTTATCATTTATCGATGAATTAAACAAAAATATTTGGTAGAAGTTCTATTTCGGTTCCCATACAATCGACAGGTAGCTATACATGGGTTATTTTTGGGAACCAAAATAGAACATTAGGCCAAAAATTTTGTTTAATTCATTTGTAAATGATAACTGATATCAATAATTTACGAATAAATGACAAGAACTAGCAGTGCCTTGCTTTATTTCTGCCAGAAAGTTATTATTTATGGTGTTTTTTACGTTTTTTCCGTTCAAGGTCGACCCACATATAGGAATGAAAATCGAACGAATCGAGTTGAAAATTTTTCGAGCAATTCTTTAAACAAAATTTTTCCAACTGGATTCGTTCGATTTTCATTCCTATACGTGGGTCGACCTTGAACGAAAATTCTTAAAAAACACCATAAATACTAACTTTTTGGCAGAAATAAAGCAAGCCACAGCTAGTTCTTGTCATTTATTCGTAAATTATTGATATCAGTTATCATTTACAAATGAATTAAACAAAATTTTTGGCCTAATGTTCTATTTTGGTTCCCAAAAATAACCCATGTATAGCTACCTGTCGATTGTATGGGAACCGAAATAGAACTTCTACCAAATATTTTTGTTTAATTCATCGATAAATGATAACTGATCATATAGATTAATCAGTAAATGATATAAAAAACTCCTGCGTGCTTTATTTTTGCCAAAAAATGATTATTTATGGTGTTTTTTACGTTTTTTCG